CAGGTGGAAATTCTTTGGCGAAGGGTGTCAAGGGCTTCCGTGCGAGCTTCCAAAAAATCAACTCTGCGAATGAGCAAGGAAATCTCCATTTACTCGGCTTGAGATATGCGGCGAGGCTGGCGGGGAGAAGCCATGGGCTAGATAGGCTAACGGCAGACCAGGGCTCCAGAAACAAGTGATTTTTGAGCCGGAATCCAGACGCAGCGCGTGCAGGACGGGCTAACGGGGCAAGCGCGCGGCGTGCGCTATTGGCACGTTAACGCTACGCGCGGCCGCGGAGCGCGAAATGTTGGCAGAGGCGCGCTGGCGCTGAGCAAGGCGGCGCGAGCCGTAGGCGCGTGTTAGTGTGACGCGCGCGCCGAGTCCCAGACACAAAAAAGGGTTTACAGTTCATGCTAGCAGAGTGCCAGGTTTTGGTTCTGGACCGAACAAGTCAAACTCCCCGCAGAAGTGGTGTCCGGAACGGACACACTCTGGCTCTCCAGAAACGGACTCAGCGTCCGCCACTGTGGAAGTGCACAGGGTAGGGGTATCGCAGAGCTGTGGCGGGAAACACCTGTAGAGCACCTAGAGGGGGTACTTGTGATCTCTACGTGCGACTCTATTCCATTTTTCGCGTCCACTTAGTTACTTGCTTTGCGTCGCGTCTTGTTGCTTCCAAGTTTGCTTTGCTTTGCGCCGAAAAACTGCTTCTTCGCGTCTCCAATTGCTTCGTTTATTGCTTCCAAAGTTGCTTTGCTTCCGCGTTCTGCTCCAAGTTTCTCTGCTTCCAAGTTTCTGTTTCGCGCTGCGTCCTGGCACTCCTGTTGCTTCCAAGTCTTTGCTTCCGCGTCCAAGTTTCTCTGCTTCCAAGTTTGCTGTTTGTTTGCCGCTCCTGCTGCTTCTTGCGTTTTTCTTGGAGTTTGCTTCGCGCCACGTCCTTGCTTTGCTTCGCGCCAAAACTGCTTCCCTGCTTCCGAGTTTGCTTTGTCACGTCCTGCTTCCAAGTTTTGCTTCGCGCCGAAACTGCTTCTTCTTCGCTTTGAAGTTTGCTCTACTTCGCGTCGCGTGCGTGTTGCAATCTCTTTAATTGTTGGCTTTTCAAATTTGAGCATACTGCGCAGCTCGTGATTTCCTTTTCGTCTGACGGGAAGTTGACGTTGCATCTGGAGTGTCGTGGAGAGGCAAAGCTGAGGTGGAAGGTCCAAGCTAAGGTTGGAGGTCGGAGCTGAGATCGAAGCTGAGGTCGGAGGTCGGAGTTGAGGTGGTTGGAGTTGAGGTCGGAGGTCGAGCTGCTAGTGAAGCTGACATTTTGGATTTTTTGAAAGCATTTGCAAGCAAGAGTGAAGCTCCAAAGTTTTGCCTGCAAATTTTGTGGTGTCGGAGGGACGTCGTGGGGGACCTGTAGTACGTGGGGTACCTGTGAGGTACCTGTGGGGGTACCTTTGCACCAGGTGCCTTGTAGGGTTTTGTGTCAAAATGTGGCACAATTGGGGCTGCCAGGTACTGTGGGTGTACTTGTCGGGTCTCAAGATGTGTGTTACAATGTGACACACTTGGGGTGCCTGGGGGTACCTGTGGTGGGATGGGGGCAGGTGCCGTGGGTGTTCTTATCGCGTCTCAAGAAGTGTATTGAAGTGTGATATACTTCGCTCAAACTGTGCGCCAGCTGCTGTGGGTTTACTTATCCGGTACCACGCCACTCACGGAGCAGGAGCTGCTAGAAGCTCTAGCCGAGCTGCACGCTCGCATTGATCAGGTGCAGACTAGATTAATTAGACCATCTGCTCGATCTCATCAACAGACAGTACAACAGCATCGATCGACTTAATTTTCGGCACTCTGAGACTTGGGCCCGCCTCTGCTCCTTGGGCCAGCGCCTTCAGCGTGTCGAGGGTCGTCCTCAGGATACCGACGCAGAGGCCGCCACTAGCTCTCATACGCAGTGCTCCTTCCTGCATTCTCTTGATTGAGTGTCCTGCGTGCCTTCTTGTCGCATGTCCGCATCAGCTTCTCGCCACGTGGGGTTGCATGGTTCAGTTTCTGATGCTTGTGACAGACTCGAGGCGCAACTCAGGCGCTTGAACTCAGACGTTGTTGCACCTCTGAAATTCCCGTGGGAGAGGAGCCAGGCTCTTTCGGCAGTCTTCTCAGGTGCACCGGGCAGGGCTGTCGACTTCCGACCCCTAAAAATCCCTAGGGTCATACCCCCGCCAGCGACTCCGTCTACGAGGCCTGGAGATATTTCTCCGAAGCTTCAGGCGCCGCTTGCACCCGTTGTCAAGCAACCTGCAGTGTTTGAGCAAGTACTCAGGAAGCCCAGGCTTGATCCAGGTGCCAGGGTTGGTGCAGATCGGGACAACGTTTTGAGGCGTTGGTTGTGTGTCCTCAGCCATGAACCGAGGGCATCCGAACTAGGTGGCCTCATCTGGAAGGACGGAGAGAAAGATCCTTTAGGCGTGGTGTCTCAGGCTCTGGCCGGGAAGGCCACTGCGACTCTGCTCAAGAGGGTCCGCTGCTGTGCAAGGTTCATCGAGTGGGGTCAGGAGCATTCCATTGCGGTTTTTCCGGTGACCCTCGATTTTGCTATAAGTTTCCTTAAGCCTCTCACCGCCAGCAAGCAAAGCAGTGCCATCAGAGCATGTTGTGGGGATGCAAGTTGAGCCGGGCATCACTTCTAACCCGTGGATCAAGGGTGCTGTGCGTGGAGCCAACATAAGGACGTCGGATTCCCGCAGATCGAGGGTCCTCGCAACGTCCGAGGTGCTTCTCCTCGAAACCGCCCTCATTGAGGGGCATCATGATCGTGTGGATCGTTATGCAATCGGCGCCTTCTTGTTTCAGCTCTATGCAAGGGCGAGGGTCTCCGATCTTCGCAACATTTCCAAGCTAGAACTAGACCTGAATGACGGTGCCGGCTTCATTGAGGTTTGGATTTATGAGCACAAGAGTTCTAGGCTTGGCAGTGGGGCAGGAGCGGTGCTGATTTTGGTTGCGCCTTATCATGGGCTCCACGTCCAACCCTGGGGGCAGGCGTGGGTGCAAGCTGCAGCGGCAGTAGGCTTCGCCTTTGACAAGGGGCACCGGGGACCGATTCTCCCAAGGCTGGCGAGCGACTACAGTTGGAGTGGAGATGCTACCGACGCCAACGAGACCACTCGCTGGTGCCGAGGGATTCTTGCTCAGCTCACTGGAGGTTCCATCGATGAAACCTTCTCGAGTCACGGCCTAAAGGCTACTCCTCTCAGCTGGACATCCAAAGCAGGATACCCAGAGCGCACCCAGCTGATTCTAGGGCATCATTCGCTGGGATCCACAGGAAAGACTCAGGAGTCCTATGCCCGTGAGGTCCAGGCGCAGCCTCTACGAGACCTGGTGGAGTGCATTGCGGCCATCCGGCGAGGCTTGTTCCACCCAGGCCGGACGTGCAGCGGCATGGTGACTCAAGGTGCTCTGGGATCTCATTTCAAGTTCGGCGGGGCCGGGGCGCACGAGTTTGAGTGTGCACCCCCTTCCGATTCGGCTCATTCGAGTGTACTTGAGCCGGCACCAGTCGAGATCCCTCAAGGCTCGCCGCGTGAGGAAGCGGGATCACCCACCAAGGATGGGGAAGCTTCTTCCGGATGCCAGGATGAAGTGGCTGAGCCCCAGAGTGAAGAGTCCGAGAGTTCTGGGGAGTCCGAGGGGGACGCTGTCTATGAAAATTTTGGTAAAGGGATCACGCAGGATGCGATCCCCGATGTGAATATGGGCCCAGATCTTGACATCTTCCAAAACCCGAAAACCAAGAGCTTGCATGCGCGGGCGAGGGGCTCGACTGGCAAGCTGATCTGCGGCCGATCACTCGACAATATGAAGACCTTTGAAGGAAAGGTCTTTAGCCATCGTTGGATGTGCAAACAATGCATAGCCGGGCGCCCTGTGCGCGACATAGGGGCCCTCAACTCTTTCCTGACTAAGAAGCAGGGAAGGTCTGCTTGATCGACTCAGGAAGCGGCAGGGTCAAGCAAGGTACATCGCGATTGGTTTGTGTTACCCAAACTTGATCAGAGTTCGGAGCAACTCTGACGCTCATTGCCGCAATGAGTGGTTTGGAGAACCAAGTCGGATGTGACATCAGAACCGTGCCACGTTGTCAGTGTTCCTCAACGGGAAGAGGTCGGTTCAGAGGGACCGAGCATCCCTGGTGAATGGCACCAGGGCCGTTGAGCTGACAGTCGCGGGCAGGGTTTGATGAGGGTGCCAGTGCAAACATTTGAGTGCATTTTCTGCATGGATCATGAGGGCTTGCTGCTCGTGTGCGACACGTGCATGTCGTTCCGAGACGTTTTCTCCCAAGGCTTCAATCTAGGACTGCGGCACCATGGCTCAGACTTTGGTGGAATCCAAGGCTGTCTTCCTTGAGCGAGCCAGCCGGGTCGGGTTGCCCGGGGAAGCTGTCAAAAGGCTAGTGGATCAGGGCATCGACACGATGTCGAAACTAGCATTCGCTCCGTGTCAGCCAGGCGAGACCCCTTCCGAGGAGTCGTTGATCGGCCTGATTCAGACAGAGGGAGCCGAGCCATCGAGGGGCTCGATTGCGGCCGTTCGCCATTTGGTCTTTGAAGCGCAGACCTTATTAGTGAGCCAGACCAAAGCCCTGGTCGAAAACCGGGAAGCTGAAACCAAAGATCTCGCGCCGGCTGAGCGCAGGGAGAGGATAAAAACCCAATCGCAACGATTGGCAGGCATCACCATGTCCGGCCAGAGTGAGTGCAGTTTCGCATCCTACGACACTCACTGAGAACTGTGTTTCTTACTTGGCGCCATCGAAATTTATCACGCGCGAAGCTGAACTGCGTGCTGACAAACCTCGCAAGGAGCTCGATCTCCAGCATTCGACTCTGATCGTCACAAAGAGCGGGAGCCTGATCAAGTGTGCGATACTTCTACTGCCCTCAGCCTCCATCATGCCCTTCACCGGCGCAGCCTCGCTTTGGACTTATAATTGGGGTCACTGACTACTTCAAGGTCCAGGCTTCTGTGGATTTTCTGATGGCGCACCTGCATCAGGAGCCTGCCGCGGGCAGTCGTGCCACCACAGTTCAACAGATACTGTTGGCTGATCGTGCTGCCTGGCTTCGCCTCTCAGAGCTCACGCCGGATGGGATCAGGCGCGACGAAGCCGGCCGGCTCCCGCTTGACCCGCTGTGGAAGCGCCTTGAAACGGACCCCAAGGTCATTTTTCACCTTCTTCCCCGTGAAGGTAACACCACAGGTCCGGCTAAACGCACCGGTGAGCATCTCGCAGATTCGGAAGCTCCCTCGCCAGGCAAGAAGCAGCGCAAGGGTAAGGGCAAGGGCAAAACCAAGACCCAGAAGGAGCCCGCCAACCTGCCCGAGGAGCTCAAAGGCCTGTCTTCCTGGACCAAGACCGGTAAACGCCGTTGTTGGGGCTTCAATATGCAGGTCGGATGCCCCCATGCAAAGGTAGGACAGGCGTGTCCGAGAGGACTTCACAATTGCATGCGATGCGGGGGGCACCATCCGGCCCATGCCTGTCCTAAGAAGCCCTGAAAACCAAGCCTGCCCGAGCCGCCTGATCTTCAACAATCTTTTCCAACCTCGTCGGAGGACGATGCGGATGCCGCTGGAGCAGCCTTGGAGGCTGCCCCCGCCCCTGCTTCTGCAGAGCCCTCCCCTAGCAATGACCAGCGGATCACCAGCTTTTTCTGTGTTGAAGTTTTCGCGGGTTCGGGTAGGCTTTCTGCCGAGTTGAAATCTTCTGGTTTTCGAGATAGTGTTGGGGTCGATCACGTCGTTCCCAAGCACATTGTCTCCCCAATTGTCAAGCTTGATCTTCTGGAGCCGGATTCTGTACAGATGCTCTTTGACATGATCGATTCTCCGTTTTGCATATATGTGCACCTAGCGCCACCCTGTGGCACGGCCAGCCGTAAGCCTCGGGCCCACAGCTGTTGTGTAGTGTCGTGGCGCGCTCTTTTTGCACGTAGTTTTCAGCGACTCCACGATTTTTGTTGCACTTGAGTTTTATTTGCATTGTTTTCCCATGGCTTTTCTAATTGGCATGATTACTTTGTAGTTTTTCATGTTGGTCACGGTTGCGGCATGTTGCGTTTTACATTTTTAAGTATTGAGATCACGAGCCATGGTTTTCGACATGCTTTTCCTGAGAACCGTCATGCTGCAAACTCTTTTACTTATGATGACAACAGCGGATGGAGGCATGCAGTTGGCAGCTGAGTTTTCGCAGGAGTCATTCTGCGTTTGCACTGGAAGGCTAGGGTGGCCAGAGCAGACACGGACACAGCAATGGATGACTTTGCAGATTTCATGGCTCACCTTTCCTGAAAAGCATTGGCAAAACCCGGGAAAAGCTTGGCGGCAACGAGTCTCCCAGCTGGCAGCGACACAGAGATCACGACCGAAGTTGCAGACTCCTTATCGCGATGCTCTAGGCAAGCGTTACCGCGGTAGGGGTTGGGCTAGACAACTTCCGATTTGCA